TGGTGGTTCTTCCCCGCTAGAATGGGATTTGTCGGTGCCAGGTGGAATCCTTTGATTGAAGGTCAGGAAAGGAATACAATTGAGGTGTGGATTCAAGTAGTTAGTTCGCACTAGCTCGTACCACCCTGAATTGCAGTCGACCTTGAAGGCTAGTAACTAGGATCAAGGACTAGGAAGGGAAGCTCTTCTTGTCCAACCGGTCGGGTTGCAGGACTGGTTGTTAGCGGAGAAGCCCAGGGAGAAAGATAGCTTATTAGAGCATTGGAGGTCGACAAATTCGTCTATCAGGCAATCTATCCTTAGCCTAAAGGCCCGTTAAAGCTCTAAGGTGCAGTGTGACCAGAGCGGTTGTAGAGTTTTGAAATGGGATTAGAGGCGACGCCTGAGTATGAGGAGATCGCACTGGATATGGCTACTCTTTACGGCAAAGGGGGCATTGCCCATAAGATAAGATAAGACTGCCTAGGACTTCCTATTATTGCTTCTAAGTGAAAGGTTGCCAGCAACAATATACTGAAGGCATTCAGATTCATTACCTTTCTTAGGTCTCATTGAGACTCCCTTTTAGAAAGAGAAATGAACAAGAACTTAACTCATCCGGAAACGTGATTCTATATCCTGTAAGCATCTGACAAGATCAAAAACCCTTTATCCTCTCGACGAGTGTCAGCTCCTTCCAGGTACGCTGGTTGGCTAGTGTTATGAAATAAAGAAGTCAAAGTAGTGCAAGTCCCACCTACCAGGTTAGCGGAGAGTGACTCACCTACCTGTTCTGAAGGAGGACTTACACGAGTAGTAGAAAGTACGATGCTAGGCGTGGAAGAGCTTTTTGTATGCCTTCTGAGATAAGAGCCTTCACAGCGGAGGTGAAAGCAAGATAGAATCGGGCTTGATTCCCCTTCTATGGGACAGTAGACAGGCTAGCTACTGGTAAGAAGCGATCTATCAATCCCTTCTCTTTAGGGCTTGGTATTGGAAAAGACCTCCTCTCAGAATTCTTCATGCGGCTATGGCAGATAACGGGCACTCTCAATCCAATAAGAAAAGTTATAAAGCTCTTCGCCATACCTCTATCTCCAACAGACATTCATTATGGCAAGGCGTACTGATTCGATCACTTCCTGTAAAGACTTTCTTGTTCTTATGAAAGACAGTCGTATGTTAGGAAGAATTCAATCTCAAGCTCAAGACTTTACAAGGGGAAGGTAGCTGGTAAGCCCTTTTAGTCGATCTAGGCATAACACTTTCACCACTCTTAGGCAAGCGACTACAGCAAGCCAAAATGTGCCGTTCATTCTAGTAGCTTAGACCTTTGTTGAGCCTCCTTACCTTAGAAGGACAGTCAAAAGCCGGTGCGTTGGTTAACGGCTTCCGATGTGACTGCCCAGAGGAGAAGAATAGGTAGGGATGACAGGATTGGAACCCGTGATATTTTTTACCCAAAAAAAAAGGTGCTACCAAGCTGCGCTACATCCCTTTCAATTGGTCTACAGTGTCATTGTATAGAATCCCTGCCCTGTTTTCCACATCGGCAATGCACCTCCATCGATATTCAATTTCTCTTGCCATTTCTTCTTTTTTGTCTTTATTGATTTAGATACTCATCATCATCCCGTCGATCCCACCAACGCTTTCTTAGTTATCTTATGAGCAGGGTTCTAAATAATCAGCCCTTTGAATGAATTTAATAAGCAAGGCTTTCCCGATAGAAAGATTTGCATGTGACAGAGATCCCAATTCCGTGTATCCGGTTAAGCAAGCCCCGCCGCCAGCTTCCACCCAGAAAAAAAAAAGTGAGCCCCTAGCGCGAAAGGTTGCTTTACTAAGTAATATAACGTTAGCGCTTTAGTTTGTTTGATTGCTTGTTAGTTTCGTTTTCAATAAGGGGCGGGAAGAAGCGAGCCTAGAGCAGCAGCGCAACCTCTTACTTTTTCAAGCCCCTTTTCTATTCTATTAGTAAAGCGCTAGCGCCCTTATAGAGTCAGGATATTCTGCTATCAATGAAACCGAAAGAAAGAAAAAAACCAGTGCCTTTCGTATAGATCGAGACTTGTAGCTTGATTCTTTACTCATTCCATACTGGGAAGAATTGCAGGCGATAACACTTATTCCTATTTATTTTAAAATGATACCCGACGATCAAGACAATTCCCGTGAAAGTCTTTCATAGAAGTGAATTCTTCTTCTTACGAAGCAAATTACATTTCATATTGATTTGTCCCCTAGACCTATTCTAATTCTGAATTATCCGTCGCTACGTTGTTCCCAAGGACTAGCAGAATCGAAATAGCGAAATTCTTGGGTCATCTCAATGGGTTCAGAAACCACACGTTTCTCTGGATCATCATAGCGTACTTCCACATATCCACTCAGAGGAAGGTCTTTTCGTAATGGATGACCCTCGAAACCATAATCTGTTGATATACGGCGTAGATCTGGATGATTGATGGAAGAAACACCAAACATATCCCAAACTTCTCGCTCCCACCGGCCGGCTGATGGAAATGGACTGACTACTGGGGATATTCGTGTTACTTCGTCTGCACTGGTTTGTACACGAATGTGTGAGTTATACCGAGTACTCAGTAAATTATAGACCACTTCAAATCTTTGTTTTCGAGAGGGATGATCAACTCCGCAAATATCGATCGAAACTTGAACCCTTGTATAGGTATGCAATTTAAGAAAGCACAACAATTGAAATGGGCAGTCCGTATTGGTATCAAAGCTATTCCCATGTTCCGATCTTTCCATTTTTTTTACCCATTTCTTGGGTAAAGTCTCCCAACTATATTTGAAAATGAATTGGTTATACATAAAGATAAAGAAAGCTTTCCTGTAGTTCCGCTTCTTGCTCTAAAAATTAGGAGAGACTTGTTGGAAATCGCCAGTTGGCTTGGTCCGACCAAGAAAGGCATGGGACTCTTTGGGCATTGCTTGGGTCGAGTGAAGTAAAGACTGGCTACCTATAATATAAAGATCCCTCACTGCACACTTTAGATATAATGAAAACCTTTAGTTTAGGAGTCATTCAGGCTAGATCTAAAAAAAGAACATAGCCTTCGTATGATCCCTTTCTAGTACCCTATCTTGAGCAGGAAAGTGTTCAGTAGGAAAAGACTGGAAGAAATGGGATTCGAACCCATGCATGATGCAATCTTCTTGTATGTCGATTTAGCAAACCAATGCCTTAAGCCCTTGTGCTATCCCCCCATGATCAGATCAGATAGCCCTTTGGGCAACCAACCCATTTCGCTCTATCATTTCTTCTTTCTTTCCTAGCCTACTCAAAAACTATTTAGGAAGGGCTACCGTTATATACGCAATTAATAAAGGATGCCGAATCATCCACCGAATCCTATGTTTCATCCTAGTTTATTTGATGTGTATACCTATTTTTCAGTTGGCCTCATGTATATCTAGGCCAATGTGTCTTATTGGGCTTAGTATGTGCTTAGTTTCGGTTAATCCTTAGGCTCTTTTTGATTACGTAGAAACTTGGATTATTTTTAGCCTTTGTAATCGTAATCTAATTTCAATAATTTTTTCCATAGGTTAGTTTCTTTATTTTAGAGCTCGGGGAGTGTCTTGAGTTCTTTGTTTGGTTGCCTCGGGTGGGGTATACCCCTTCATTTATGTTTACTTTGGGGGTTCTCCTCCATCGGTCAATGTATTCTTACTTACCGAAAAGAAAGACTAGTTAGGTACCGTAGGTAGAGCATATTCCAACACTTCGGATAACCACTTGACATTGGCACCTTGGCCAGGTAGATCCATCCCACTCTCCGGACCTCACCTCTGCTTTTTTGGAGTACGAGATGACTCGGATGGCAGATAAAACAGAACCTGTCAGTTACGCCTTTAGGGGCCGCCACGTATAGCTTTAGTTTATGATGTAGCATCGGTTATTGCTCTCGTTACGAATGACCCAATCTATCTATGGCAACCACCCCTACTTTTAGTAGATGGAGATGCGCACCTAGGAAAGCGCATAATAGACCTACGTGTCGGCCAGTGCCGGTGCAGAGATAGGGACCATGAAAGCATGGGATTCAATCGAACCTTTTTGGATAATTCCTAACGCAGAAGAGGGATGCTAATAAGCTGACAGCTCATGCATGGATTCAATAGCGAAAGAAGTTCTTTCTGATTTGAATCAAGAAAGACAATGAATTTACGAGATCTTGATCCGTTCAGTGCCTTCACTTGTGAACAACAGGGATCCATTCTGTTGATTGCTTCTCTGCCCCAGCTCTAACAAACTGGTTTTTCTTTCTCACAGAATTAGGGAAATCATTAGATTTTTCTTCCTTCTTTCGGTAACATATACCGAGATAGGCTGGGAAATCCCCCTTCGATAGACAGGTGGCAACTTGACCTCTAAGTAAGGACAGGAACGCTCATGCCCAATCAAACACCACAATCATGAAAAGCACCTGAACAAAGACCTAAAGCTGAACCGCTGAAGGAACCTCTTTCCGTTGTTAAAGCAAGTACGCTTTTCAAGCTTTTTCCTTACTCTTACTAAAGCAGGCACACGCAAAACTCTCTATTTGGCTTTTCACTGAAACCAATATGTCTAAACATAAGGTAGGTGCTTTCACGACTCACTAAACGGGGGATCAAAATCTTTGCGCAGTAGAGGCGGAGGATGAAGCGAATGTAGAGGACACAACATATCCAGGGAAGGAAGATGGACTGGACTCACTCTCATTCATGGCATGGGCAAAAGCAGCCCTAATGACTTTCAGTGAAGATATGCTTATACGGCGAAGTCAGTCACAAAGTCTATGTTCGTGTGATTTCACTCTAAGCCGACCATCCAAAAAGGATGTGCACAATTGATCATTGACCGCAGTCTTCTCTTTTCTCTCCCAATGTGGGGAACTTTTTTCGGTTTTTTCTCTTTAGCACAACACTCAATGGTGATGCATGGCGTCATTACTGAATCCTTTCATTGACCTTTCTTTTCTATAACGAAAAAAGCCCTCCTCTCGGTGATGTGGGTGAGAAACCCAAATCAGAAAAGCTCAGCAAGCCAATGGCTCAACGGTTCTCACTACCCTCCTCTGGCGCAAACACCGTTTGCTGCGCTGCGCTCATCACGAGAAGCCGGGGAACTCTCTTGGGTGGACTTCAAGCGCGATGATAGTCAGTCTGAAGTTTTCTACTATTCCATCTTTATTAGTTCAAAGACCGGGCTTGGGGGTTGGTCTCAGTGGTCAATGAAAATGTACTAGTGTGCTGTCTTAACATGTAGAAATTTTATTAGACTGCTAGCTTTACCAGCGGTAGGAGGGTGAAAAGACGGTGCATGAGCGAAGTAGGATCCTCTTTTTTTGTATCCCATCGATGATATTCTTTGGTTTTGGTACATAACAATTTGCATAAGCAAAGTCGAATATTTGTTACAAATCTAGATCCTGCACTCTCATCTCTAGTCTCTAGCTATCATCTTAGTATATTAGTCAAGCTATATCTTGTACTTTCTTGGGCCTAACTAAGAAAAGAGAACAAGAAAAGCAAAAGCAAATACGACTTTCAGCCAGGCTGCTTCATTCAAGTCTAGGACTTAGGCAAGACTTATAAATCGAGCAGTTATAAAGCAGTTTAATCGCATTTATCATCTCTCACTTAGCTCTGATCTGGTGTCGTCGCTCAAAGTCCAAGAAGAATAGTCCTTTCATTGGCTAGCGGGATTACGCTTAATGGGATAGACCGATTATCGCTTCCTTCCTCTACTAGTTCTGGAGTCAAGCCAGCAAAGAAGTAGACTCCTTCCTTTTTCACTGGCTAGCATCATAGGGATATTCGACGTTTAGTGAGATAGTCTAGTTCTAGACTAAAGCTAGCAAAAAACAAGACTGAGGTCGATAGGGGCATTACTAGTAATTGCTAAGGTGCTTTATTAAGTATTTTCCACGCTCCTCTCCAGTCTCTTTCCAGCCTTTGTGATTTCAAATACTATTCCCGTATGCCATATCTCTTATTCAATCTTGCTATACGTCCAAGCTCGGTAGTTAGAAGCAGAACTAAGATTGGATGTGACTAAAGGAAAAGGGAGATAGGTGTGATAGGAGGGCACGGTTAAACAGGTAAGTGAAGGCTCTCTCTCTCGCTCTGTGGTCTTGTGTGAACTCCTTTCCGCCCATTATTGATCTTCACTCTAAGTGAGCAGGTCAAAGCAGTTGAGGTGATAGCAATAGTAAGCAGGGAAGCAGAAGCAAAAGGTCTTCAAAGAACTTTTGTGTAATAAAGCTTCTTGGTCTCATTTCATTGGTCTCTAAGGCAAAGTCTCGCTTAATCGTTCATCGATCTTTTTCTGTAAGGCCTCGGGCCCCACGAATTCCGATTTCTGTTTTTGTTTGTATTAAAGTGTTGGTAGCTTCTAGCCTCGAGCTGGAAAGTCTCATCGGCGGGGGTACTATAGATATATCATAACTCTCTAATTGAGACTCAATCTATACAATCAATCAATCAGTATGTGCAATATACCGGTCTTTGCGATATGCTCTTTCAAATAGATCACAGATCTTCCCGCTTAGCTGCACTGCTCTCTGAGCTCTTTTGTCCGCTATCGCTTCCTCTAGTACTAGCTCTGATCTCTCTTCAGTAGTTGCAGTACGATTCTTTAATTCATCTCCTGCCCTTTATAGTCGTAATCGCTAGAAACTCTATATCATTGGCAATTGGCATTGGCGTAATCTTTTTTCTCCTATCGGAAGGGGGTCCTGTCGAAAGCAAGAAAAGGCATTGCAAATGGCGTGCCCTTACTCTAATTCTAAATAAAGCTCTTTTGCTCTCTTGGTCAGGCCTGTAACAAGTATCTAAAAAATCTTTTCTTTTCGGCCTATGGTTCGGTCAAAGCAATGACTTGAGTGAGTAAGGAAGTAGGACCTTTTTACCCCGGCTGTGAGTTATTACTGACCCCTCTCTGTCTCTCCCCCGCGCTATGAATGAAGTGAGTAATTCGTTGGTGCTTGCCCTTCAGTAAGTAGTTCGGATGGCTGGATAGATGCTACGCTCTGCCACGCTTGCCTGACCGCGAGAAGCCTTAGGGTAAAATAATCTTGAACAGCAATTTGAGAGAATCTTTGGAATTGAAAGAAGGGGATAACCTGACTTTCACTTTCATAAAAAGAGAAAAATGGACTTGCACTTTAAGAAATGGAATTGCGATGAGCCAGAAGTTAGAATCTCGCCTAACCACCTGTCTCCGTCTCCCGTAGTTCCCCCTAGAAACATTCGTTTGCCTACTTCTACTCTGGCCGGGGGTAACAGTCTTTTTGAGAACCAAGTGGCCCTTGAGGAAGACCTTCAAAAAACCCCTCTAACTCGGGGAAAGGAATTCAATCCCATAAAATGAGTCAAGTCTATGATAGGTACCAATAGTCTTTATGGCGCTCTTACCCCTTATGCAAAGCACCAATGACTTCGGTCTTCTGAAATGGGCTTAGGGCATATCATCAAAGAAAGAATCCCGAGGAAGGGGGTGAAGCTGAGGTTAGAAACGGTTTCTCCCGTTATTGCTAGTTCTTCCGTTGTTGGTAGTTCCTCAGGTCGGGTTGTTTATTTTTCAGAGCTTTTTCAATTCTTTCAGAACCTTTCGTATGCGCCTATTGGAAGATTTGGGCTACCTCCTCTCTTTCCGATCTCATTCAGATAATAAGCCAGTCCGGTTTATTAGATAGTGACTGGGTAAGAGAGGTGCTTGGTCTGTCTCCGAATGTGGGCCTAGAAGCATTAGCCGAGTCTCTGAATATTCCCGAGGGTTCTCAGGATAAAGACAGCCTTAAGGTGCTAACGGAGCTTCCACGGTCTCAGTCCATGAAGGTGCTTACTTTATTGGTTGGCAGCTTGGTTATAGTCATTATGAAGAATGAAGGAGCGACGAAGGAGCTCACTTCCACGACATGGGAAAGGATCATGGGATGAGGAAAAGAAAGAAAAGGTGCAAGGTGAGGAGATATCGAGAGGTAGAATAGGTGAAATGAGTTCAAAGGAATTAGTTAAGACACGCTTCTTTAGCACAGGCCACGGAGTGAAGTTGGAAGGTTCAATGAACTACGCGAAGGGGAAATCTTGGGCGCTATTTTTGTCTATATACAAGTGGCGTAGGCGAAGCTGTGGCGACTCGTGGAGTAGACAGCGAGCTCCGCTTGAACAGAAAGCAGCAAGCTGCAAGCACTACTCCAAAAGCAGTGAGCTCCGCAACAAAAGCGAAGCGAGCCACGGTAGCCTATTAAGTTTTTCAGCTGCATCGTACCGTACTATGGGAGGGGTCCGTACCTCCTTTAGATAGAGCCCCCCTGCTCCTAATGTAGAGCTAGAACTACTGCTACCGTGGAATCCGCGGTCACACATAAGTATCTCGCCTTCCAAAAAAGCGGCTGCTAATTAGCACTAATGCTAATGGGGACCGTCGATCAAGAAGGACTTTGGAGACTGCAATCGAATTGATCAAAAAAGAGAAATAGGGCCAAATCTTCTAGTTGCGCCTCTAACCTTACTACGCTACCCTAATAAAAGGTCGAATTCAGCAGGACTGCAGGCACGAAATGCCGATCAAATCCGTTAAAGGAAGCCTAATCAAAGCGGGCAAACAAGAAGATCTGACTGAGTTGATGATGGACCGGATCTCGAAAGGCGAGAGGCTTTCATAAAGACGTATGAGAAATGGAGGGTCGAGAGAGGCTTATTGCACGATCCACCCAACCGCTAATAAATGTTGCATAAGATAAGAGAGTGGGAGGCCGGCCCCCGCCCATCTGGAGGTGCACACCCATTTATGAACATATACAAAGGGCTAAAGAGAGAAGTCCATGGAGAACTACCAAATCCAATGACTTTGATTTGTTCGTACCATTCTGTCATCGATCACTGCTAGGTCGGTTGGTGAGTCACCCAAAAAAAGCATCGAGAAAGGTCAAGCATATATGTTTTATGAAATGATCAGCGGTTTCATTTATGCTATGCCCTTCATCGTGTTCGTCTGTGTTTATTGAGCTTTCAGCGCCATGCGCTTTGCTTCGCTTTATAAAAGAGAGAGAGCCTTGTCTTGAGAGTGAAAAGAAAGGGCAAGCGATAGAAAGGATAGTCCCTCGCGCGTTCGCGACAACTATTAGAAAATGGTGAGATCATTAGATCATTAGTGAAAGAAGGACCAACGACGATCCTGTTGGGTTTTGGTCATAAGACATCCTATGTGCTCATACAAACCCTAATGCTTGGATCTAGGTTTCTCTATTGTACATGCTTTGAATCCAAGACTATAAACCCTAATTCTAGCATACATATAATCATATTAACATGAGAATAAGTTTATAGTGTTACCTTGATTGTTATGTAGCAATAACAATCCCAAATCTCCTTGTATTGACTTTGGAAGGCTTAGAGTCACAAGTGTCACTCCTCTAATGGCTCACAAACACCATAAGCAAGTGGAGAAGGTATATGGAGAGAGGTGAGAGGTTAGAATTCGTATCTAGGACCTCTTGGGAAGGGATACACGAATTCATGACCCTAGGGGTGTTTATATAGGTGTAGAGATAGGGTTTCAGTCATTATCCTTATCTAGTTGATTATCCATTAAGCAACCAATAAGATAATCCTTGAATCCTTATCATACTCGAATTCTAAGGATTTACACCTCAAATTCGTTCACCATATATAAGATAATCCTTACCTTATTTTGTAACTATCACATAATTACAATTCAGCCCCTCTAGTTTAATTAATTACATTTGATCACAAAACTAATTCTTAATTAATTATTGACCAATATTAATTAAACAAATATGATTTCTCCTTTAATATATTATTCTTATAACATATTAATAAATCATATTATCCTCTCTCTCTTTATTCATTTCTCCAATCAAGTTGCTTTGGTGAAGGCAACCCAAAAGGACCATGCACCATCGGGTCAAGTACATACCAAAATAGTTATGGACTTAGACACTAATCCAACAGTCTCCCACTTGGATAAGTCTAACAACTATTCTGCGTATGACTTCAGATCCTGATCTGCAATCGTAGCTTTCCAAAGCCGCTGTCAACTCTGATCATATCAGATACGCGTGTCCTTAGATAAGGGATCATATATTCCTCCATTCTAGATATCGTATGAGATATGATTTCAAATCATTCTCTTTGTACTATATCTCGATTTCCGATTTATGACGACAGACTAATTGAACAAATCAAATTAGCCCTAGCCCGGCCGAGCATTTACGTATGTCATCACTAAACCATCGAGGGGCCCAAAGATATCGCTTTTATCCTACTTTGGATAAAAGGAACGGATAAACTTTGATACAATGCTTGCTTGCACTCACTCACCGAATTACACACAACAATATGTTTTATAACACCAAGTTACTGGTGCGTTTACATATTATCAATGTGCAACCGATTCGCAAGATACAACTCACACATCTCGGTTTCAAGAATATAAGATGTTATCGTCTCACCAATCACTCGTAATACAATTCATGGAGTGATCCAAGTGAGCGTGGGTTTAATCCAATGCTCAAATCATATTCATAAGCACTCATGAACGTTGCAGCAAACATTTGCTTATGTCTAATACTCTTTTAGACAATCCACACACCAATTCACGACAGTCTTCATTCATATCTACTTCCAACATATGAACGACTGTGGCCCGTTTGAATAATTCGATTATTCTTAATAAACTCAATTATTCTGGAAGTCAAAACATGCAAGGTGAAACACAAGAATAATACTAATCCCATATGGCCTCAAACCTTTGAGTATAAACAAACACGTTTTATTTATCACCATATCGATTACTCATTATTTGTCGTTTCGGGTAATCAACTTCGCATTTGAATTCCAACACTTGTCCCATGCTCCTAGCATGCACACAATGTTTACCTATGGTTCTTACTTTTGCGAAATAGACAAATTGAACACATTTCCAATCATTCTCATTTTACAACACCAAATCCATTTTCTTAAGTGTAAGAATGTCAAATTCTTGTTACTTATAGAATAACTAGATTCTAACACTTTATGCAACGATCCTTTTGTAATGTCACTGCACCAAAGTCTCAAAGACTATTGCCAATGATATTACAAATTCCTCTATCGGAGATTGTTACAAGACAATTCCTTAGATATGATGTCTCTCACTCAAAGTACATTCCTTTGAACATCCTTTCGCATAAAGTTTCTAATCTAGACATAGATTTTACTTCCCAACATGGACAACTTCCATATTTTATATGACAACTCATTCTTAATAGAATCTTATCTATTCGTAATGATGTCGATATCGTCCATCCAATATGGAAACACTTCCATAATTTCCAATACTATACTTCCAACTACTCGCAAGCGACCAATCCTCGTCGAACTTTGGATTGTCCTTTGATAGTTGTTTAATTATTTTAGTCAAAACCAATTCTAGTCCCTTTTCCCTCTAAATGCACTATACATTTGGAAAATTTTAGAATGGTCAAACATTAAAGCATTCGCAATCGATCCTATACCCGAAGCGTATGGGACACGACGCATAATGTTTTATTTGCTATGTTCTCAAAATTCGAATTGCGAAGAGGAATGCCGTAATCACAATCGAAATTTTAAGAACACACTATGTACCTTTGACTAAATTTATTAACATTCACAACCTAATCCTTTAGATTTGAAATGAAGCATAATATTCTCTCCCTTAATTATAGCAAAACAACCTTTCAACTCTTACAACTTTGCAAAGTATGACTCTTGTTTTCTATAATTAATATTGCCAACTATGCAATACGTGCCTTAATAATCATACAATCATAACATTTATGCTCCCACTATCATGATGATTATTATAAAACATAACACTTATGCTCCCACTAGCTTCGACATGTATTCATAAACATCTTAACTTTCAGAAAAACAATACTTATTGAATTTCTTAAGTTCATGTTTCTAATACTTAGTGCTTTGATAATCTTTTATCAAGGCTTCTTGAACTTATACACTTTTGCCTTAGATAGTTCATATGTGTGTCTTAACAATTAAGACTAATTGCCAAACCTCACAATTCAAATTATGGAAAGGGATGCCGTAACCATGATCGAATTGAGAATGCAATTTTACAATCACTATCTTTTAAAATCTTTCTTAGTGAAAGCATTTTCTCACAATCATTTTCATGAAGGAGGAAATCTTATGACACTTAGATTTAAACGGTGTATGTGTTCCTATCCATGCGAATTTGTTAAAACCAAAGTTTACGACAAATTCAAACTCATATGGATCGAACTTTCTTAATCTTGATTTCTTGCCTTATGGTAGCACAGCTGCCCACCACGTCTTCCAAGTAGTTAAGCATCTTACCTTTTTCCTATCAATGTACCTTTCATTGATCAAGGTCCTTGCCTTTTACGCATTCAAATGAGAACTCATAGGACTCACATGCATAATTAACTCGATTGGATTGGCACAGAAACAAAATAATGTCTTCACGATAGGTTGTAAACCTCAACTCGTGTGCTAGTGATGATCGATAAGGTTTATTTGATTTGTTCTTGAAACTTTTCGAGACCATTAAGACTCCCACTGACTCCTTGACATATAAGATTCTTTGTCAATAAACATTTCTTGACAAACAAATTTTCAAGAGTTAGTGTAGCTTGTATCAAAACACTTCATAAATTGGTCATAGTTGGTCTTTGTCTTATCCAAGACATCACAACTTTCCACATTTGATGAATGTTATAAACCTTTAATACTTTTTACTCATTGTCACAATCTTAACTTTAAGACTTGTTATTGGAACAAAGTATGATTGTCTTCTTGATTTGACCATTTCATCAATCTTTGATTCCTCTTCTTGGACATACAATTGTACCAAGACTCACTTAGAGGATCAATTGAGATATGGTTCTTAATCATTAAGACCTATCATAAAGCATAAAAGCCACTCTCCCTTCTTCTTAGAATGGAGAAACTCTTATCTTTCTGCCTATTGATTCTTCTTATTCGTTTTGCTATTGATCTAAACCCTTTAATCAATTCAAAATTACACTTAATCTTGTAAGTATAATCATATTTACTAAACCTTTAGTAAATGATGACGAATATCTTTGTTACTCTTATGGTGAACTTGATCAACACACAACTTTGTGTACTCGATCTCCTAGTCCTTCACTTGACACTTGTCAACGAATTAGTCTAATTATCAAATATGAAATTTCTCATTTCATCATGCAACCAAGTTGCATGATTCAAGTTTCTGTCCAATTAAACTTGGCGATGAGAGAAACTCTCCCTATTTGGTAA